CCTCCCTGGTTCAAAACATGGACCGAATCCCGATGAAGAAGAAGAGAGTTCTTTGGGGTTATATGCTCTGGCATAATTTCTACTTGTGTTATTTTTAAAGGAGACTTGATGTATTTTATCCCGAATTGTTTTACTGTTTTCTTCTTCTTTCTTACAGTTTTTATTCTATTTTCTCGTGAAGTATACTGCTTGGTCTTTTGCTAATTTATTTGAGGTTATGTCATCGTCGGCTTTCTGTAGTTAACTCTCTCGTATTTCTAAAGCTTTAATATCTTCAATTTCAAGTTCATTTTAAAATATATTTTATTTTTCACTTAGTATTAAGTTGGTAGTTTATTGAATTTTTTTCGGAATAAATGGTGGATCTTAAGATAAATAGCCCCTCAGTGGCAAAGCGGAATGTCTGCGGACTTACAACGCTAAAAACCGGCTTTCGATGCCCGTGGTGGGCAGAGCACAGATAGCCCATTGTGTAGATTTGTGCTTAACTACAAAAAAAAACACATTTAAGATAAATAACTTATATTAATTTCAGCTAAATTTTAAGCCTTATTTATATGTTAAAATGTACAATATGTGGTGACTTTACGTTAGCCAAACAGAAAATTTAAGATTTAGAATGAATCATCAAAAAAAGGTTCATGATAAAAATGCAAGTCAAAGTCCATAAAGATGCTCAGAATATTTTTACAGCTGTATCTTAAGTACCCACGACCTATTACAAGAACTTTTCTACTTGTTGTTGTTGTTGTTTTCCATTTTATTTTGTGAAAGATATTTAACAATAAAATTAGAAGTACTTTAATGCTGCGAAAGCGCTACCAACCAACCAACGAAATTCCAGAGTATAAATAAAAATAAACAATATTTCTCACCTGGTGGTACTTTGAATATTTTTATATTAAATACGGGTTTCGATACCCGTGGTGGGCAGAGCACAGATAGACCATTGTGTAGCTTTGTGCTTAATTCAAAACAAACAAACAAACAAACAATCTAATCAAATAAAATATCGAATACAAAAAAGTGAAGACTGATCACTAACCAAAAAAGCAACGATACGCTCTTTAGGACTGGGTGTGGCTAAGTGGTTATCGAGCTCGAAATGTGAATCCGAGAGCCCATGGTTCGCGATCCATTGTCATAAAATTCTGCGAATATCTGAAGCAAATAAAGAAACCTATTTTCAACGTCTATGTTGTTACCTTTGGGAAGCACGAGAGCTTACAACAGTCATACAAAGATACGACACTTTATCAAGTGTAGATTTTTAATAGCCTTATATTTTTTTTTGCCCTCCAATGGCTCAGTTGTAAGTATGAAGTCTAAAAATCTGGTTCGATACTCATGGTGGGCACAGCACAGATAACCCATTGTACAGCATTGCGTTCAACAAAAAATAAGCAAACAAAAACAAAATCATATTTTTTAGTCCTCACCTCTAGTGATAATCTTGAGTACTAAGTTCAGATATTAGTGATTTTTTTATTAACATTATTATCCTATTTAATATATGACATGCTACTATGGAAAGTAATGCATATGTGGTTGCCTTGACAATCATTCTGAAGTAAGTGTTTCACTCTTTCGTACTGTTTGTTATGTTGTTGTTTTTCACGCTTTCTCTAGTATGAGTTACCTATCTGTAGCCTCTTTAAAATAACCAAGATAATTTAAATGTTAACTAGACCACCCGTGACCAGTTGGGTCACCCACTATTCAGAGGTTATAAATAATTCAAGCAAATTTCGATATTGCACCGAAATGAAGGTTTATTTTAAGTAAATATTTCAATCCATTCATATTCATAATTCAAGAAAAGATATTTGATTGTTGATCGGGAGTAAAAGGAAAAACCATTTCATTTTTCAAAAAAGTGAAGTCAGAGTTTTCAGGTATTGTGATGAATTAGTTCATTATGTTGTGGTCTTTCCTCTTAAACCTGCTACAGATAAGAAACAGTAACACTTTATTTTTTCTTCGAATTACTTACCATAACCAAGGCACGTTATTGAGAAATTCTTCAAGATCTTATTTTTTTGACATCTTACGCCTTTTAATGAAGATGGGAACATTGACAAGGAAATGGATTTGAACGAAGAAGTTTCGTGAAGAGCTCAAACGGTAGTGTGATGTAAAATTACTCATGCTAGAAATTTTCATAAAAAGTGACCCGAAAAACGGCGCTAACTCGGTGACCCGTAGCCCGATTTTAACGAAATTTGTTTTATTCTGTTTTTATTCTCATTTCATTACAAATATGGGCTATTGTGCGCCGTTTTTGCTGTATTTAATTATAGACAAGCAAACAAACAAACAATCTCATAGTTTTAGTAGTATATAGATTTACAGGCATATAAATCATATATGATCGACTAGGTAATTTGATCAAATAGTTAAAACAACTAAAATGAGGTTTAGAAAAATGAACATGAAATATCACAATGTTTCACCACGTTGGTCATCAGTTGATTCTGACAGAGATGTTAACTTGACAAGAAAAACAAGTGACAGACATTTATGTTTGGTTTGTCTTATTTGTTAGGATCACTCGATGAAGCTACGTCAACGTGGTGAAACGTTGTGATATTTCATGTTGTAGGTAGGTAAGTAAAGGTGAAGTCCGTTCCAGACAAAGACTGGCGGGCCATTAGAGGGTTATGCCCTCTCTTCACCCATGGGAGTGATCAAAATAGAAAAGAGGAATGGGTTAGAGACAGGTGACAAAGAACAGCTGATGTGACACAAGATGAAATGATGATACGATGAGGCAGTTAACACGAGACAATGTAGGAAGCGATCTTTAGTGAGTCAGTTCTAGAGAATCTGAACCAGTTGGGCAGATATAAGGAGGAAGGTCAGACTATGGAAGATCAACGTGTTCGGGACCGTCGGGTTGGATGGACAGACCATACAGGTTCAGGAGATGTTCTGCAGGAGGCGTACTGCAGAAAGGGCGCTGGAGAGGGGTTTCAAGGGCAGCAGCAAAGAGAAGATTTTGGGTACGTAAACAACTCTGGACGTAATGAAGACGAAGAACTCGGAGATTAGCAAGAATATGGGAAAATGAAATATGGCTATAGAGTGGTCGAGTGGGACTGGGCAGCTGGACGAGAAAAGCTAAATGCAGAGCATGGCGCTCTAGAACCTGTAGGTGATAGTAGACGGAAGAAGGTGCAGATATCCAAGGAGTATGACCGTAAGCGAGACAAAGGAGAATAAAGGTTTTATAGGTGTAGAGGAGGATTTAAGCCCCAGGTGGTACCCGAAAGGCAAAGTAGAAGCTGCAACCGGGAAGAGACTTTGGTATTATGGGTGTTTAGATGGTCTTTCCAGGTGAGATGTTTGTCGAAAGTTACACCAAGGTAATTGACAGAGTTAGAAAGTGTGAGGGGAACGTTTTCAACACGAACATTAAAGATAGAAAGGTCACGACAGGGACAGAACTTGTGACGGGTTGGGCAAAACAGAATAGCCCGAATTTTAAGGGCATTGATAATAAGACGCCAGTGATGGGCCCAATGGAGTAATGTGTCAACAGTGGCCTGGAGAAAGCGGTTAAGTGATCATAGTCTTACAGGTAGTGAGAAGGACAGTATCATCGGCTGAAAGGATGATCATGTTTGGTAACGGGATTCTAACTCGTCCCCTCGCCAGTGGCACAGCGGTATGTCTGCGAACTTACAACGCTAGAAACCGGATTTCGATACCCGTGGTGGGCAGAGCACAGATAGCCCATTGTGTAGCTTTGCACTTAACTACGAACAAAAAACAATCGAACTCACGACACGCAAATCGCGAGTCGAGCTCTCTAGCCACCAGGCCCTATTTATTGTTTGTGTCATGATTAGTGGTAAAGTATGTTGGTATTTTCAAATACTATGATATACAGCGTCACCTGTAGCACATTTTTGTATTTACAGATACGTCTTAGTTTGCGTCATGTATGATTCAGTTTAGAATCTCAGTCACTGAGAGAATATTTCCATTACGGAGACAAAAATACACACAACCTTGAAACGAAAAATGTAACTGTCATTCTAAGTCCTGGTAATGCCCAAATAGATGTTTCAGAGTTTCTTCACAATCATAAACATGACACAAATGATGACAGTAAATTCCGTATCGTTGCCAAAAGTTTGTTTTAAGACGATCTGTTTAACAACAGAAGCTTACTTTATTTTCTTTTTCTGTTTTTAGTTACCAACATCAGCACAAAAAAAAGGCTAGTAAATAAATGAAAAAGGGAAAACGCACATATTGTCCCCATACCCTCTAACGTTAATTGTTAAGATAGATAAGTTTACAGGCTAGAGGATTGTTTGTTTGTTTTATAGCAAAGCCATATTAGGCTATCTGCTGAGTCCCCATGCGAAGAATCGAACCGCGGATTTTTGCCTTGTAAGTCCGTTAACTTACTGCTGTTCCACCGGGGGACTGTTTGTTTGTTTGTTTGTTTT